TTTCTCGTATATATTAATGCCAATAGATAGGATTCTTCCTCTTCGGGCTTGTTCGGGACAAATCAAACTCCGTGGCAAACGGGTCTCGGCGCTCTCTCTCTCTCTCTCGCTCTCTCCACGAATTTATTCGAAGGAGAAACGTATGCGAAACTTCTGCTCTTGCAGAAAAGTTGCAAGTTGATTGGCTCAATTCGCATGGGCTCTGTCGGAGCAGAATGCACGTGTACGCTTCTTCATCGAATGATTTCGAGTAATCGGGGGTCCCCGGGCGCACAGAGCGATTCGAAGCTCGCGCCCGAGCACAGCTCGTCGGCGACGCCGGCCAATCGGCGCGCGGCTCTCTCCGGTCGGCGACCAGTCAAGCCCGCCGACAGATAAACGTTCGACGGTCACGACGCACGGTGCATCGACGCGGCGTACGCGACGAAATCTGAGGAAAAGCCCGGACGCCCCGCGTGCCACGGCACACGTCGAAAATCGCTAAGCCACCGGCGGACCTGCGACAAGCGGCGCGATCCTCGTCGCAGCGGCGGGCCATTTTGCGCAGTTGCCATGACCCAGATTACAATGGGGGGTTCGCTCGTCGCTTGGAACAGCTGGGTGAGCCGTTGGCTCGGTTGGCTGCGAAATCGCGGTCGCCTCTCTCCCCCTCTCCGCCGCGCGCTCGCGGCCACACGGCGGCAGCTCAGGGCCGTGAGAGTCGGCGGGTCCCCTTGGCGCCCCTCCCCCTCCCCTCCCGCGGTTCGCGTCAGGAAGAATGCCACGAAATTCGAAAGCGGATATGCCCGATGACGCGACGAAGGTGACGAGGGCTCCTGACTCGAGAATATTTGTCGGACAAAAGTCCCGGTCCGCCCGAAGACAAGAAGTGGCCTGTGCGGATGTCGATAGCGCGCGCGATCAGCGAGGGTAACTCGCGCCTAACCGCGGCGGATTCGCGCGACCGAATCTCCATTCTCCGCTCCGATCGATTCCTCCGTTTCGCGAGACTTGGTGCGAGTAAGAGAGAGAGAGAGAGAGAGCGAGAGCAAGAGAGAGAGAGAAAGAGAGAGGACCGACCCCGTTCGCAGCGATCGGCCGCGATATCGAGACGACGACGAGCGCGCACATTCGCGGCGGGGATGGAAATGCCTGGAAATTTGGAGGCAACCAGCCGAATAGAGCGCGCGGCCACATTCCTGGCGCCGAGACCGGATTCAACTCCCGTCAGCTCCGATCCGGCATGTGCGTCCCGCGCGCGCGATCGCCACGGATGGCGGCGTTGCGGTCGTGGTCGGCGGCGCGCGCCAAGCCGCGCGCCGGTAGCGGGCCAGGCGGAGCGGCGGGCGGCAGCAAATGCACCCGCGCGCGAGGACCCGAGTGTGCCCGAGTGGTTAGTAACAGAGACGCCGCTGGTCGCGCCAATACGCTCCTGCGCACTGCCTCCTTCGCCCCCACCATCGGGGGGGCCCCCGCTGCGCGACCAGTCGGTTCCTTGTTTGCCATCACAAAATCCAATAGTTTGCCTTGTACCGCTCGACGAGTGAGGCTGCGCGGTTCGGCCGTTTTCACGTACGCGTCTTGCGGGGGGGAGGAAAAAAAACGAAGTGCGGCGGGACCGGAGCGGGCCCGATGTAACGCGCGCCTACTCGCTCGCGCGAAACATGTATGCTGTATCGCGTTTGTTTACCCACACCACGAGATTTCGCCCTTGCCGAAAAGTGTGATCCTCGGCTCGCGCTCGCTCTCTCTCGCGCGCGCGAGCGCGCGTGTGTGTGTGTGTGTGCGCGCGTATTCGTGGAAGCGAGAACATAGTGAATTCCTACGGGCAACCGGACCGACCGGCCCGTTAAGGCTTTGTCGATTTTTTGGTCGTGAAAAAACAGCAAACCGAGGAAGAGGGAGAGAGAGAGAGTGTGTGTGTGTTAGAGAGAGAGAGAGAGAGAACGATAGGTGTGGAACGTACAGAAATCGCGAGAGAGGGGGCAGGATCCAAGTATATGAGGAGACACAGAGTGAGAAAGTAAGACGAAGAGCGGGAAGAGAGAAGGAGAGAAAAAGAGAGAGAGGGGGAGAGCGTGTGTGCGCGCGCGCGCGCGCACGGCGGTGTGTGCGCGGCGCGGATGCGTGCGCGCGTGTGTGTGTGCGTGTGCGCGCGTGTGTGTAAACGGAGCGAACGCGCGAACGGAAGAGGAACAGAGAGAGAGGTGGAGACGTCGAGAAAGAGAGAGAGAGAGAGGGAGAGAGAGCAAAGAATTCTGTAGCGTAAGGTCGATTATACGCCGTTGAGAGGCCCGGCAGCGAGGGAAGAAACTGGTGATACGCACCGAGGGTGTAGGAGCCAAAGGTACCTTTGGTGGAGGCGGCTCAGCGGTAGCGGCGTCGGTGGCGGCGGCGGCGGCGGCGGCGGCGGCGGCGACGACGACGGCGGCAACGGCGGCGGCGGCGTCGGTGGCGCTTCGCGGAGGAAGTGACCGCACGCGGCGCGGACGTACGTTACTTGTCGCGGAGTTCGCTCCGGGAATACGTTATGTACTTACGCAGAATATTGCGTAACGTGCAGGGGGCCGGGTAGAATGTTTGAGAACGCGCGGCGTATCGAGTCCGGTGCGACACAGGTCGACGCGGTCGAGGACTAGGTAGTGCGCGGGGGCGGTCGATCGTGTGCCGGCGCCAAGTTTCGCGCGTGCATACGCAGCAGGAGTCCGGGAACCCCGGCCATCGAACGCGATCGAAAGTTTTTTCGGGGTAGCGCGAGAGAGAGAGAGAGAGAGAGAGAGGAGTGTCGACGACGACGACGACGACGCCACTTTACGCCTAGGGACGTATCTCGAGCGCGACGTCACCGACCTCCGAAGTGCCTCTCGTGCTGCGACGAAATCTACGTGGGAGATAGGGACGCAAAAACGTGTTTTCTCAGATGGAAATTGGTACGTATGGTGCAAGAGAGAGACAGACGCGCGCCCGCCCGTTCGTCCGTCCGTCCGTGCGTCCGACCGTCCGTCCGTCTGTTCGCGACTCGCGACCCGCGACCGCAACGTCCGGGACATTTATCTTCGCGTTCCTCATCTTTCGATTGTCTCACGTATGCGCGGCACCGCGTCGACAACTCTGCAACCGAGTTTGCCGTCGAGTATCTCTCTCCCTCTTTCTCCCCCTCCTCTCCCCTTCTCTCTTTCTCTCTCTCTCTCTCTGGCCAGCAGGAGTTTACAACTTATTTTTGTAACACGTTCTCGTGTCTCGAGGCTCGCGCGTCGCTCGGAAATGCGATAAGCTCGCTCCCTCGTTTGATCGCAAAATATTAGCCGTTTGCGTGTCCGCATCGCCACCGCGACGGTAGAAATGTACTTTTTTTTCCTTTACGCGCGCCCGCCGAATCAGCTCCGAGCGACGATCGAATTGCCCGACGAGATCGAGGAGCGTGGTTTCCCTCGAGCTGAAAAAGAACCTGGAGGTCTTTCCTATAACCTAACTTGCCGTTTTCGCGCGTTGCATCTCCCCCCGCGTCTCTCTCGAAATTCACGTTGGAAATGTACAAGCTATCCGAGGACTCTCGATGGACCATTCGACGCGTGCAACGTGTTAGAGCCTGCACAACTTGGGTCCCTTGCGGGCATAAATATATTAAAAATTGGTGCCACGGTCCGAGCAGTTCGGAAACTTCTCTTTGTGCCCCAAAGTTTTATTTACAATTCGAAATAAGTGTGATTTGCCAGAGATACAAAAGTGTTTGTCTAAACTAATCTCTGCTAAGAATAGTATAGCAATTTGTTAACTTCAGCTCGCAGCCAAGAAGTGGACCTGGTTTACAATATGTTCTTAACTCATTCATTCTTGCATACTTATTTTCATCCTTGCACGTTGCGACTAGTATTTCTCATTGCTGATTGTCTTTGCTAAAAATAATTGTTAACGTTAAACGTTGGTAGACGTTGGTAAAATCGGCAAGTTTTGTACGCACAAGTGATGTCGATGACACGTTATTGTAATATTCTATGTGCGTGCGAGTGCAATAGGTGCATAGAAACGTTCTGTTAAAATCCGTTTCTTAATAATAGATTCACTTGTGTCACTTGCAACCTGCCCGTTTTTCCACCTGCGAATGATATAAATATCAAAGGATGGAAAAAAAACTTGGTAGACATTAGACGGTAAAAGCGCGACGAGAGGGAATAGTAATTTGGAATTGCTTTCAGCATCTCCAATGTGATTGCGATGAAACGCAACGTTCGAGCACTGGACGACGTAACATCATCAGCAGCAAAACACTCTGTGAGTGCGGCGAGTGGCTTAGGCGGTGGGGCGACTAGCTTAGATTACCACGCGAGCGGTGGAATAGGTGTCGTTGTACCTGGTCAACCAGTTCGGTCTGTTACTTCGAAAGAGATGCCTGGAAGCATACAGTTTGGTACTACCCAGGCTCAACAACAGTACACCGGGGCGATTGTTTTGCCGACCGCGGCACAATCTCCCATCAAGGTAGGTGGCAGAGCGTCGCGGTAACGTTGTTATAAATGTGCGCGCGTATAAATAATACATACGTGTGTGTACATGCAGCAAACGAGCGGTCCTGCGGGAGGACTCGGCTCCACGTGTAGCAGTAGCGGCATAAGCACCGGCACTGGTTTACATAGCGGAATAGGAGGCAGCGGCAATAGCCACGCGATGGCCTCCCAGCAGCCTACGTCGGGATCGCAAAATCAAGTCCACACGCAGCAGCAGTCGACAATAAGGCACAAGGTTCGCGCCAATTTCAAAGTCACGTTACACGCACGCATGTCTTTGTACTTTTGTACAAGGTAAACAGCGCCCGTTCGCTCAATAAACGTAGTTTATAAACAAGAGTTACCGTTGCCGCTACAGGTACATTCTGGCAATGTGACGCCGTTAGCCTCTACTCCGCCTGGCTCTAATCTAGGAGGAGGAAGTGGATCTCAACAGTTTCAGCGATTAAAAGTTGAAGATGCATTATCCTACCTGGATCAAGTAAAATATAAATTTAGCGATCAACCACAGGTGAGCGACAGGGGATCAAATGTAAACCGTATACTTTCATGCTCACGTACATATCCTACGCATCGGTAGATAAAAGATTCTTCGTATTACCGCACGCATCGTTTTATTTGCAGGTTTACAATGACTTCTTGGACATCATGAAGGAATTCAAATCTCAGAGTATAGACACCCCGGGCGTTATAACTCGAGTGAGTCATCTCTTCAAAGGTCATCCCGAACTCATCGTCGGTTTCAATACATTTCTTCCGCCCGGCTATAAAATAGAGGTCCAAGCAAACGAGCAAGGTTATGCTTTCCAAGTATCGGTCAGTATGCCCAGTCCAACGGCGACGCACACCGCCACGTTGTCGCAGCATCATTGTACAGTGAACGTTGGCTCGCCTCCTGTAGCTAGCCCACCCACGCAGCCTGCAAAGGCACCTCCCGTTTTACAAATAATGCAAGGGTGAGCATTTCGCATACAAATCTACGCACGTCTACGGTACAAAGAATATACAGTCTCTACGTCGAGCGTAATTGTATCGTTTGTGAAACAAATTGTGATTGTTCTTAGGTCGGCTAACATACATCATACTTTGGCAAACAGTATTACAACTAACAGCTTAACTGTTCACGCGCCGTCACCGCCGCCAGTATCAGTGTATAATAATTCACACGTGAGCACTGCACAAGCGCAGGCTGTCAGTCAGGCGTTAAGTCAGGCGGACGGTGTGTCGACTGGTGGACAAACGCAGCAAAGTCAGCCGGTTGAATTTAACCATGCGATAAACTACGTTAATAAAATTAAGGTAAGATATACACGAGCGGGGAAACGGCCGAGTGTGAGAGACGCGTGCGAGATTTATTATTATTTTCAGAATCGGTTCCAAGGTCAGCCGGACAAATACAAACGTTTCTTGGAGATATTACATACGTATCAGAAAGAGCAGCGAAACCTAAAGGAATCTGGCCATATAGGTGGTACGAGTTCCGGCGCGACAGGTGGAACGAAGCACTTGACGGAAGCGGAGGTTTACAGCCAGGTCGCTAAGTTGTTTGAGAATCAGGAGGACTTACTTGCTGAGTTTGGACAATTTTTACCGGACGCCACTAACCAGCAAAGTTCGTTGGTGAGTCGGGGTTCTTCTTTTCATTGTTGCGGTAGGGCAAAACGAGGCAAGTTTAGTTCCGACGAAATTCAAGCGGAGAAATTGCAATCTCGAGAAATCGTCCCAAAAGGAATAGCAATAATACAGGTCTCTCTACGTATGAATTTTTTAACGAAATGTTTGTAACACACTTGAGGCATTATCTACATACAGTTTGCGGTTATTGTTTCTTATTTTTCTCAAACTTTAATAGTGGAGACGGTACATGTATACACGCGCGAGAAGGAGCAAGCGCAAATGGTAGAGGACATTTATATTTCCCTCTCCCCCTCCCCCCTCCTCCCGATGGGAAAACGCGTGCTTCTCCTATTAAACATCGTATTGCAATATTGTATCTTGCTCTTGTATTTTTCTGCACCGAGAAAGCTGTTTCCTCATCGGGTCAAGTAGTCAGTTTTGATTCCTATTAGTCTGCCATATTTCAGACTAATAAGACAACGTCGGTCAACGATCACACGGCGATTGTCAAGAAACCAATTGGGCTTAAAACACCTTACAACAATTCTGGTGGCCTGCCGAGAGAGCTTCGAGAAGTCGGCGGCGCGGCTGGACTGGAACGTGACAATCGAGATCATAGAGACCGCGAGCGGGAACGCGACAGGTCGAACGTAAGAGATATCGGTAGCGGCCAGAAATGCGGGCACAGCACTGGACAATTGAAAAGGAGCCCATCATTCTCGACTTCGGCAACAGCGGGAAATTCTCATCATATACAACATGGGCCGCCGCCTACGAAGAAGCACAAAGTGGCTTCGATGCGGGATATTACCATCGCGGAGGCGGGCAAATACGGTACCCTGAACGACTACGCTTTCTTCGATAAGGTGAGCCGTTTGAGGCCTTGTACTTTTTAACTTTGTTTGAGACTGGTCAAATAAACGCGAGCGATGTTTCCCCACAGGTTCGAAAAGCGCTCAGATCGCAAGAGGTTTACGAGAACTTCCTTCGATGCCTTGTACTTTTCAATCAAGAGATAGTATCAAAGTCGGAACTCGTTCTGTTGGTGACACCGTTCCTTGGCCGTTTCCCCGAGTTGCTACATTGGTTCAAAGATTTTCTCGGTTACCTGCCCGACTCGTCCAGCGCTACGGTGACAAACGCAGGAAACGCCGTAGGCGTGGAGACTTTCCCAAATAGCATTGTACGTAGCCACCAGGAGCGGCCGCAAGGTGACTTGGCGATAGAAATTGATTATACAGCATGCAAGCGGCTGGGGGCGTCGTATTGCGCGTTGCCGAAATCGTACATTCAGCCAAAATGCAGTGGCAGAACGCAACTGTGTAAGGAGGTCCTTAACGACACTTGGGTGTCATTTCCAACTTGGTCGGAAGACAGCACATTTGTTACGTCGAGGTAATTGATAATTGACAAGTATTATTTGCTGCTTATAACGCGCTGTAATGTTCTCTCGGTGAGAGATAATTGACTTTTCCAATTACACGTGTCTATTAATTTGCCTAGGAAAACGCAATACGAAGAATCCATATATCGGTGCGAGGACGAACGTTTTGAATTGGACGTCGTTATAGAAACTAATGCGTCGACGATTAGAGTGCTCGAGGGCGTCCATAAGAAAATGAGCAGGATGACTCAAGAGGAGATACAGAAATACAAGCTCGACGAGTGTATGGGTGGTTGTTCCCCTACGATTCATCAACGAGCGATAAGAAGGATATACGGCGACAAAGCTCCCGATATCATAGAGGGTCTCAAAAGAAATCCCGCGGTAGCCGTGCCCGTTGTGCTCCGCCGGCTGAAGGCTAAGGAGGAGGAATGGCGGGAAGCGCAAAAGGGATTCAACAAGATCTGGAGGGAACAAAACGAAAAGTACTACTTGAAATCTCTAGATCATCAGGGAATTAACTTCAAACAGAACGATGTGAAAGCGTTGAGGTCCAAGAGTCTGTTCAATGAGATTGAAACGTTGTACGATGAGGTTGGTACATGCCTACATGTTTTCTCTTCGTCTTATTCTTTTACGACTGTTTACGAACCATTTGACGCTATCACGCGTCGATGCACGTTACAGAGGCACGAACAGGGTGACGATGGTAATGGCGATGGTCAGGGAAACAGCGGTCCACATCTCGTTCTACCCTACAAGGACAAGTCTGTGTTGGACGATGCTGCTAACCTCCTGATCCATCACGTCAAACGGCAAACTGCTGTCCACAAAGAAGACAAGCAACGGATAAAACTTTTATTGAAACATTTTATGCCTGATCTCTTCTTCCATCCCCGTCAAGAACTCAGCGATGACGAAAGGGACGAAGATGGTAGGCCTCATTTACTTTGTTAATAACTTATCTCGTAAAGTCGAATGTATAACATGCTCCCCCCCCGTTTTGTTTTCCGCTACAGATGAGAAGGAGGACGTGAATGTGGCAACGTGTAATAATTCGCAATCCGCGACGACTACTTCGTCGTTGAGTGGTTTGCAAGCCAATAGGAACAAGGCCCCGACGTCGCCACACACATCTTCCGCCACGTGCAAAAATGAGCCTGACGTCAAAGTACCCATGCACGCTCTCTCGAGCGATCCTGAGGAAGCCTACACGCTTTTCATGGGTAGTAATAATTGGTACCTTTTCCTGAGGTTACACCATATACTTTGTGAGAGATTAACGAAAATGTACGACAGAGCGGTTGCTCTTGCCGATGAGGAGTCCAAGTATAAGCAGCAGCGCAAGGAAAGTACCGCGGTCGCTCTGAGATTAAAACCAAAAAGTAAGCAACTCACTTGCCACATGCAGAACCAATTATCTTGTATAGCGATTGGCTATACATATATATACTAATTTACGTCGTCGATTAATCTCGCATTCATTTGGGTATAGGTGAGATTGAAATAGAAGATTATTATCCCGCCTTCCTGGATATGGTTAAAAATGTCCTCGATGGAAATATGGAAAGTACAGCGTACGAAGACACGTTACGAGAAATGTTTGGTATACATGCCTACATTGCCTTTACACTCGATAAGGTTGTTAATTATGCTGTCAGGCAGGTAAGTACATTTCTTTTCACTTGCCTTTTCAATGTCGCAGGGAAAAGACACGCATTTTTACATATACGGGTATCTGTGTTTCTGGCAGTTGCAGCACCTAGTCTCGGATACCGTTTGTCAACAATGCATGGATTTGTTCCAAAGAGAGCAACGTCAACCTAAAGAGAGTAGCGGTGCCGGTGGGTTGTGCACCACGGCCTACATGAGATTAAGCGCCGAATTATCGTATCAACGCAAAGCGGAAAAAGCAATGGCGGATGAAAACTGTTTCAAAATATACATAGTGAGTGACTTTTATTTTACTTGTTGCCGTAATACAATTACTGCCACTGACAAATTACATTGCGTCTGTTTACTTTCTTCTATATAAAATATACAGAGTGCTTCTGAATATTTGCCTAGACTTTACACCATTTTTTCTTGGAGAAAACGCAAACTCGATCAAATAAATTAAAGATTTACGTGCTAAAGTCTGGCAAACATAAGCACCGTGTATATCATGACTACGCAATAGTCTACGTTGTAAATGAAACCAATTAAGATTGTCGATAACGTGTTTCGTCGAACACTCGTATACAATTGAATAGGCGATTGCAGAAATCACACAAGTCCCGAATTTTCGAAATTGACTTTATTGCATAAGTGGGCTTATCTAGAATCGGCACGTAATGTATGAAAAAAATCACGTTAGACCGTGGCTTCAGTTTGTAAATATATAGCCAAATATAGAATTGACAAAGAGCGTTGGGTGCAGAATCACTGTAAAGTTTATAGTAATTTATACTTTTGCGTCGTGAATTTTTATATAACAATGATATAAATTTTGGTTATCTTACAAGTAAAGTTAATTTTCATCACTTTGTGATTTCAGTTTTATTTTTTTTTTCAAATTCATAATAAACTGTTTCAGATAATAAGACGATTTCATAATAAAACATTATTTCACCTCATGTTACTATTTTACCTCAAGTAACTATTCGTTGAATATAGAAACAGTAAGAGTTCAATTTGATTTTTAAATTAAAAAAAACGGCGTACAGTGAGAATCAACAATTATGAAATTATGTTTCTGTAGGATAAAGATTCAACGATTAAGCACAAGAAGCACCGTGAAAGCAGGTTTTTCAAGTAGTTGTACAGTTTTACTGCTCTCTTGTAAAATTTGAACGATTGGACTTGTATGGTTTTTGAACTTACCGATTGAATTGGATTCCAGTTTGTCGCATACTTTGAAGGTTTATTTTTTCATTACAGTATAAGAAGGACTGCAAAATGACAATGGAGTTGTTAGATACAGAGGGAGACGAAACGGTGGATAACGGCTGTAGAGAAAGAGAAAGGGAAGGCGTTACAGTCTCTGAAAAATGGTCAACGTACGTTGAGAGATTTTCTGCACCAGCTGATCAAACTAGCCCCAAAGATACTCCTGCCTTAACAGAGAATGAGCAGACGACCAATCATCCTGTGAGTAGCGACCAGGCAGCAAGGGGGGGAAGGGGCAGAAAACGCAAGAACACTGACATTAGCAAGAAGGTATAGGATCCAAATACCTTTTCATAATCATTGCCAACATTCAACTTAACGTTCATTCACGTAATTGACATCTGTGATTCAAACGTTGTACGCTTCGTTGTACTTTGTCGTTTTTATTTGGCATACAACACTGAGTACTCCAAAGAGTAAAGGTTTAATGGGACTTTTTTTTCTACCAAAAGTAGAATTTATTTGTCAACAAGTAAAAATTAATTAGACGCTTTTGTGGGAAGGGAGTGATCTTTGTAAAAATTTTCGTTACAGTAGGAACATTATTCTTGCGCGTATACACATCACACACACACTCACACACACACACACACTACACGAACACGCACATGCTCATGCACGCACGCGTTGTATGCACAAAAATACATACCAGTTTCTATGATCAGTCTGTGAGGCAGAACAATTATACAGATACATGTGCTGAATTATTTACGCTTTATGCGTATCATTAAGACGATACTCGTGTCAGTTTCGTACAGCATTAATATCGGCCATCAAATTTCTCTATATACGTCCGATGTAGCAACTAATATTTGTTTTTTCACGCATACATAAAATAGCACGAAAAGTCCACTTTTATACTTATCCTACTTATATTTTATAATAATAAGGAACTCGTCAGAGACGTACGAAACTTTCTTCGACCGACAGTTATTTGTATAGTATATATTACAAATTAAATGAAATTTTCTGCCGGATCATTACAGCGCAAATGCAAATGCAAGTGCATCTCTTTTCTGTAAACATTTTCCTTTAAATGTTTTATTAAATTATTTACGATATGCAAAGTATTGTATATTGTATAATTTGTCTTTTTATTTAATTTTATAATTGGAAAGAAAAGGCTGTGTTTAGATTTATAAATGATAAACTTCTTGAAGAAACGAAATAAATGAAATGAACATATAGTTTCTTTCTTAAATGTTATAAATATTAAATTACAGACAAGTTTTAACCGTCACTAGAGTTTTCGTCTTTATTTTCGTTTTGTTTTCAATTTTATTTTTAGTTAATCTTTCCACTTGTGATCGAAAAAAAATGGAAATGAAGTTTAATGCGTAACTTCGAAATTACATTACATCAATTACTTTTACTATTTAACGTGTTTGTTTTCGTATTTTAAATATATTCTATACTTGTAATATTTAAATATGCCCCACGAGTCTTCCTAAAATATCTTTATCTTTGTTCATCATCATGTCAGAAACGTTTCTTCGCTGTATGTTGAAACATGAATGCTTTCAAATTGTCTCGCTGGAATGAGTTTGGAAAATTTCATGTGTATATACTGTACAACATTAATTTTGTTCATGTTGATGGCATTTATTTAATAACGAGTATTGTGAAGAACCAATAATATAGTTGTGAGATAACACGGTGATGACCAATTGTTGTAGAATGATAAAAATTGTATAAAACAGAAAACAAAACTGGCATAAGTTTTACAAAGTCGTCCTAACAGTGCTATAATGAATGTAAACTAATAATTAAATGAACGATTTAGATGCCTTTTTTCAGATTGAATGTGTATGTACCTTCCTCTAACTAGTTATATGTTTCGTAAGAAACAGTTGATGAAAATACTAAATTACTATTTTACATGTAGATACAATTATTATATAATGATAAGTTATTCCACCTTTATTTCTCTGCGTACATGTGTGTATATATGTATCACATACGCTAAATATCTTTTATTTTTTATAAAAAGTTAAAACTGAAAGCTACAACAAAGACACATTGGACTATTTACTATTGTTATCAGGAATACCTTGTGATGAATAGTGTGAAATTTTCAACATAAAATACGAATGAAGATTTAAAAAGTAATATCCATTTATTGTAAAAAGTCGTTTTTCTTTCAATATTTATCACATTTTTAATATATTCGTGCAACTTAACATGGCGGAAAAATAGCAAATTTACTTCAAGTGCACAGTTGTTCCAAACTCTTTATCATTATAAAATTATCTTAGCTAAATCCGTAATTGCTCGCGTTAGTCACGTTTCTTTAACGGGCAAGTAAATTTCGAAGTAGCTTAACAAAAGTATGAGTTAACACGGTCATCGGAAAAGACTGATTAAAAGAGATAACGATTTAAACACTAAATAACAAACAAATATTTTCGTTAATCTTAACCAATATTTTTATAGAGATTCACACTTTTCTGTCTTGTGAGAGGATTTCATTTCATCGTGTCAATTACATTGATTCCACGATTTCCGTTTCACGCTCACTATAATACTCTCTTTATTGAGTATTCTAATTTTCTTTTGAGTTTGACCAATTCGTACTCTACCGGTATTTACCAATGTTTTTTAAAATAACTTCTCAACAAATTTATTGTTTCTTTTTGTATCAAATCACCGAAGAAGACCCGAACATGGGTCGAAACGGTTCAACAAAAGAATATATTTTTCACGTTTTAAACCACGCACTGTGTTCCGTATTTATTGGCTCACATTGGCCTTCCCTCATCGATTCTTTCTTTTTTGAAACCTTCACCACTCTTCTTGCAATATTTTTATGTATTTCTAATTAGATGTAACGTATATCTCGTGCTCGTACATAACTTCTCGATTATACTTGGAATATGCGCGTAACTCTTCGTTATAAATGATCGATAGATAAATTCCTGTTATTTTGCTTTAATATATCACGTTTCTTAAATCAAAGCTGTCTATGTACTGTACGTGTAAGATCAAAGAAGCTTATTTTCTCCGAGGCATATAACTACTTAAATATAACATGTATACATATTATCTGAAAGAAAGGCATCTATCTATTTAATAAGTGAGAATAATCTTTCGTGCATACAATAAAATATTAGTTTATATCGTAACACATTCCATATTAGTCAATTTCTCAAATTCTTGTTATTTTCTTTATTATACGGTATCAGATAAAATAATATATATATGTATATGTATATTTTGCTTTGTCTAGTATAATACTTTTTATATACATACATACATATATGTGCGTGTGCTTATGTATGTGTATATATGTATATAATATTGGGGTAAAAAGATGAATTGAAATTTGAAGAATGTAAATATTTAACACAAATTTGTACATACGTTTTGATACATACAACTTGCAATAGCTAGCGGTAAAGTAACTGACGATTAAGTTTCATACTTGACTAATTCTTACTATTGTATTTAGAGGTGAAGCCTTTAAAAAGAAGACATGGACACACGCGCGACACATACACACACATACATACGCATCATTTATTGATTTATCTCGACACGTTAATTCCACCCCATAAACATTACAATAGCTAACACGGTCACACGTTTTTATTGGATCTTTTCGAGGACAAGTGTCCTGACTTTTTTTAAGAAATTTCGAATGATGGACGGTGAGATGGTTGCATGGGAAGGAATGTGCTAATAAAATTCCTATGTGATATCTTACGCAAAAACATGGGTGTGAGAAACATCGAATGCATACTTGTTTGGCTATTTGACTCGCTAATGAGGAGAATAATCGAAAAATTGTCTTCTACACGAGAGCTGATCTCGTAGCCACATGGCACACTTTAAGAGGCTATGTGCATTTGCTTCATACGAGGGCACAGCGTGTCATGCTACGTTTCAAGACCTCAAAATATGTTACAGGATCAGCTGTAGTACGATGCACTATGCCTTTGTATGATTCAAGTATGCATTGGTTTTAGCTAACCAGTCAACGAGGTATGACAAGACTGTACTCTATGGCGTGGAGCTGAGCGTCTTTTTTAGCTTAACTGTTGCGTCCCTCATCAAACACATGTGTATATATATATATATACGTAATATACTTTGATACGTGTACATATAAATGATATATAGTGATAGCCGTGCAGAGATACTACGAACTGTATTATTATGTGATGTATATAGAAAGTCAGTTGTAATTTTGCATCAATCTGTAATAATGTTTGATAAACGCGACAGTATGAAGTATTAATGTCCCGCAGTATTTGTCATTTTACCAAAAGTTTCACATTCTTAGATTTTTATTTCGATCTGTGCTTGGATTCAAAATAATTTCGAATGCCACTCGCGCATCCTTGGATACCGATCTCTACGGATTTTTACATTTTAGATTTTAATTACACGTATATTTCGTTTTATTCCCAATTACGTTTGTTTCACATTACTTTCTCTTAGAGAGAGAGAGAGATATTATATACATATAATTTGTACGACATAATAATCTTCGTACACACTTTACAATACATTTCTGAACAGAGGCATACATCGCACGATTTCGATAGCACATAGTATCGTTTATTCTTTTTTACAAATCGGTCCATTTTGATATCTAGCAAATGCAATTGCCAAGTCAAAAAGAGTTTATGTACATTTTGACATTCGTAGTAACACGCACAAACACACACACACACACACACACACACACAAATGTATGTATGTGTGCGCGCGCGCGTGCGTATTATCATTAAGGATTATCATTATTATACTCTACATGAACGAACATGATTATTGAACCGCAGCTTTGTTTCCTAGAGTCGATTGAAAATTCGTTATTGTGCGCATGCGCGCGCACGTACACGCACGCGCTCACACGTACACATGTACGCAACACAGGTTCATCTATCCTCCCCCCTCCCCCCACTTTTTGCCGCACGCACGCACGCACGCGCGCGCGCATACACACGTCACATCCAATCTCTTTACATCACATTCATCAATTTACAAATATTGCTGATCATTCCAGATTTATCTTTTCAAATTTCAAGTCGAGATCCAGTTGTTTATTTAGCATAAACTTTTTTTTATTAGAGATATAAAATATAAAACGGTTGTACTTGGATAGAAAGCGGTTTTTTTTTTATTTAAAAGATATACAAAAGAGCAATCGACGATTTAAGATGACGTGCGAGATAATGCACGCCGTACAATCTATCAGTGTACTCGGATATCAGTGCCGTGATCGTTTGTCCCTCTTTTTTTTTCTTTTTAATTAACAACGTTACGGAGAAAGGTACACTTGTCGCAATGCAACATGCGATAAACGTTGCGCGTAATAAAATACACAGAGTTGAACAAGATTTAACGTTCCGCGCGTACGACGACGGAATTCCTGAGCGACTCCTTTTACAAATCTTCTCGTCTGTTGTTTTATACATATATCTATTTTTTTTAATACTCGTTCTCGTCGCACCGATGAAAAACAACGAATCGCTATCTCGAGTGCCAAGTACATATGTATATCAAGATTCAATCGGTTCAATCGAACTAGGAAGCGACCGAGTATTATTCTCTCTCAGCTGTCTTTTAAGCGATAATGATATCCTTGACGGACAACGTCGTACGTACTTACATATGAGGAAAAAAAGTGACGACGCAAACACATCGCGATGAAGCTAGACGATTGTGGCCGGTCGGGAGGCTTACCACCTCTCTTTCTCTCCCCTCCCTTTCTACCACCCCACCCCCCCGCCCCATGTATCGCGCATACGTATATCGCTTTGTCTCAATTTGCTCACGTCGATCGATAACCCGTTTCGCTGGGGCATTCGTTCGATTCCGCGTAGAAAATGTAGAAGGAACCGCGCCAATTTCCGTTGTCGATCGCGAGAGGTGTCTCACCCGCGCGAATGAACCGCTCACTGTACAAAATGGCGCTCCGCCGTGCCGCCTAACGTGAGAGAATAGCGGAGGTAGGCGACTCGCGGCGGTGCGGTACTGCGCCCTTCCTCGCGACAGTCCTGCCCGGCAACCTGCTGCCGCGCCGATGTACATCACTTGCTCCAATGGCGTATGCGCAGCAATTTTCACTCGCCCGCCGCCCGCCGCCCGCCGCCAACTTTGTGCGCGCGCACCGCACTTGACTAATCCCCCCCCCCCCCCGCGGACGTGCAATCGATATTTATTACCGATACCTACTCCTCTCCGGCTAAGCGTTGGCCCCCGATGAGAATAAATAAACGAGACGGTCGGAAACATCGCGGCTATCTGGGTTTTCGACACGAGTACATCACGGCCTCTCCCTCTCTCATATTACATACATATTTAGTGAGAAAGCAGTGTCTTATATATGTATGTAATTGTATGTATGTAATTGTATACATAAAAATTACAAATATACATATAATAATAGATAATAACAATTGTATAGAAGAGAGATATCGAAATACACGCACGATTTTGAATATTATCGTCTGACATCATTTTTTTATACCACTAAAATTTATTACTGTAAAATATCAACTTTTATATATATATATATGTATATATATATATATACCAAGTTTGCCTGTCCGGTACAACATAAACTTCGTCTCTAAAATGCAAGAGCTGGAAAATTGGAAAATAATCTCTTCACAAAGAGAGACTCTTTTCTCATCGCGTTGTAGATTAAGCCACGTCGTAGTTTAAGTTCATATTTGGCCTAGTTTCTCCGGTTTTTCCCTCTTCATATTGTGGCGTACAATGAATGCCAATTTGATATATATTGTTGGGAATAATGTATCTCTTTTCTACTATACCTGTGCAGTTCGGTGATGTTTCGGCAATGTCGCTGCTAACGAAAGTTGTAAAATTTTTCCACAAGAGTCACGTTGGTCCTTTTTACTAAAGCCGCCGCATAAATTGCCCAACTCTCCCAATTTATCAAGCTGCCGATTAGAGCTGCCTGTTTGAAAAGAAGAAAATTTTTCTAGAATTTTTATTATTTTATCTACACGTATGCATCTCTTCTTTCTCCCCTCCGTCACTCTTTATCCCCCTCCCCCTCCTCTACCAACTCCCTGTCTCCCTCCAACACTCTCACTTGTGCACAACAAAATAAACATATACTATAATGTATATAATTATTTTGTTTACAGAAATACGTTGTTAATAAATAAACTGAGGATCAAGTTATTGGGCTGTTTACTCGTGATGCATTAATGAAAATTTCAGTGCTACTTGTAGCGAATTTCGTTGCTTTTATAGTCAATTCTCATATTTAACTTCGTCTTAAATATATGTTAAAAGAGTATTTAGTCAAAAAACGATTTGTATGAACGCTGTACAGACCATTTTTCTGAATGAAAGGTATTTCAAGAGGTATTTAAGACGATCCTTAAATATAGGAATTCTTCATTAAACTAGAGTCTCTTAATTGATTTTCTACAAAGTGACGCGACCGAAATGTAATAGGAATATGACGAGATAATAATCAAAATTCTCCAGATCACACATACACGTATGACACTTTTGTTTTCCCTTTTCATCTTTCGCAATTATACATTTCGATGTTTAAGTCATCTCTTTTTCACACACGCGCATATACATACTGCCGTGATAATAGTAAAAATCTCATAATTGTAGCACGATTTATTTATTTTCGAATCGCTACATTCGTATTTCTTGCGTTTTCCGAAATCTACTGTCGAATTGAGCATGAAAAATTAAGAAATTGAAATAGAAAGTAAAAAGAATACTCATTAAATCTCTTTATTTACAAGATGTGTTAGGCTCTAACGACTCTGACACGACTGTGTCCGATAAGCCGGTCACTGCTTGCTTCTTAAAAGCACATCCGCACATCTAATGTTCGTCGAAAGGACTCGCAAACGTCGCCGTTACCACACTATTTTTAATTTGCAGCTTTTCTAAAAACTATTCTTACTGAATTTCATTTGCGTGGTTTTTTAAAATTTACTCTCATTTTATGCAGAAATCAGATGTTGCGTTATAAATTGTTTTCGCGCATTTGTCGATGATAGTAGTGTTAGTTTATTCGCAAGCCTACGTGTATTGTGAACAACTTTATCACAGTTCTTTACAAATCATTTTAATAGTGTCCTTAAAATTCGCAATTTTATTTTATATACATTCAATTGTTTGCAGCGTTTAAGATATCAACTTACAAATAATGGCGTATCACTTGTTTGTAGATTGACGGAAATACTTGGGCTTCCTCAGGCAGAGCTTCAGCAGGACGTAAACCTATTTTTCTCTATCGTAATATCAGATCGTATCGAGAACATGCCGCGAGGTTAATGAGAGGGAAAACATCATCTTCGCTTAACGCTAATCATTCGGATAAAGTCGCAGAGTAAGTGTCGCATATGTGTGTGTGTGTGTGTGTGTGTGTATTTTACATGTGTATACATACGTCTGCACATAAATGTGCCAACGATAAGATTTGACGGCCAAATATTCAAATTTGCCCACGTCAAGTAACAATATTGTAAATTTGTTACAGGTCAAGTGACACTCCAGACATAATCAATTCCGACGAGACACAGTGTAGATTTAATCCCAACAGTTACACCATGCTCTTCATTGTCCACCAGGACAGATTTCTTTACAAACAAAATTCCATGAATCGTGCTAAACAGGTACGTCAATTTTTACAATCATTTGAATGCTTTCGCGCACTTTCACACACTAAATATCACATGTGTATATCACGTATGTCTAATGGTCTCTCTCTTTCCTTGATATTTACTCTCATGTCTTACACATCTTAATTGTATGTAGCTTGATTTTAGTAAAAGAACGAAAAAAAGGAGAACAATATGGAATATTTTGATTTTACAGTGTCATCCGACCGTAACGAAGCGTAAGGATTCCAAATTTCATCACTGGCACGCAGCGTGGATATCTGAAAACGGCACGGATATTCAACATCGGTTATGCCAAGATTGGTTAATGGGACGATACGAGAACTTGATTCCTCACAGGACACGAGTGCTAACGGACAATAATCAACAAGTTTCTCCCTATCGTCAATACAATCGTTTCCGAGTAGAACGTCTGCAATCTGATATATTGACAGAGGCGTGCATCTAATCCGATTCGATGGAATTTCTTGCCGTCATTGAAAATATCCCGATATCGCTACGCTCGCTACAATTACTCTTGTATCAGCGAAAGTTTTTCTTTGCTGCTTCAAGTACAGTTGTAAAAAGCAGAAATACACAAGTTTAACTTAGGGCAAAATAATATATAAATATATATGAATATATATTATTTTTATTACTTGGTACAAATTCACTCGATATTCGAAAACAATTTGAGCCGAGTTAAATTCGAGATTCCAAGAACGTTGAAGAAAATAATGGTCAATGGCCGTCCACACGAGTTATATACCGTATCGTATTATACACTTTCGCACAGAATTCTATTCTTGGCTGTATAGAGGTACGCAGGGCTGTATACTAGTATACACAACGACGTATACTAATATACTGTTACGAGTGACTTGATACTATCGCACTGAATTCACCGTACTATGTACTACTAATTCCTTCTTGTCAACATATCCCACTATTTTTATCGCATTCTACATTCATTCTCGTCAAATTAAAACCAGATAATCGATATGTCGCGTATCATTTTATCAACGCTGATGTATCACGCGACCAAAATTTAATACATTTTGCATCTGTACATTTGAATACGGCTTGCATCTCAATGTTACTTTCAATATCGTAGTGTACATATACTTATTTAGATACAAATATTTCATTCGAGACGTGTTCAGGAATGTCAACTGTACAACAAACTACTTACAAGGGAATAAAAATAATTTTAGTTGACATTTCCAACTTTGTCCTTAATGAAATACATGTATACATTTGCATCTATGTATAAATATATGTAATTAGATACACATACACACCCCCACACACACATACACACGTGCATACATGTATATACGCACACAAGTATGTACATACATATACATGTATAAACATGTACAGAGAAAACTAGCGTTTACATTCTATTTGCCTTCCAGGCTCTATAATGTAGAACAATTAAAAGTGTAAAAACGGTAATGTTCCTGGACGATGCGATAGAGCTGAGCGTGCTGAAAGCTAATGCGGCGTGGAAAATTAATTGGAAAGTCATTGACCTACAACCGCAGTACGCACGCACGCGTGCACACACATGCATGTATGCATACATACATACACACTACACACAATCATATGACATGCCTGGTTGTTATGTCTGTTTTGTAGCGTACAATATCAATGTAATAAAGCGCGATTTCTCAAGCATATATTTTACAACATATTCTTAAATTTGGTGTATGATCTGCAAATAGCTGTGAAACGTAACAGTCGTCAATGAAATGGTGCATTACTGTAGGAAGGTAAACGTTAATGGACCCGCTCGTAATCATTACATAGTTTTTCACTTCTACTAAAATCAAATTCAAGAAAAGTTCATACGTTCATACAAAGTTCATACAAAGAGAGAGAAAGTTGAACATTTGGGAACGAAATAATCATGCCCGTTATGATAAATAAGTGGCGTGTACAAAATTATGAACCATTAATAACAAATGCGATATTTATCTCGTTCATTTGTCATAAACCTGTCAACTCTCAAAACACGCATCTGTGCACGGTAATTGCATATTATACCGTCGATGGAAAACTTAAAGAATAAGATAGCCAAAAAGGAATATAAGATAAATATTTAATTATAATATCATGTATAGTCATAATATATATATTATATGTATGTATATATATATTATACATACCATAATTTTGGTAATACTGTGGTTGTATATTTATTGAAGCATTTCCTCATAAGCAGAGTCAATAGAGAGGAAAAGAGAAGGAAGAGGTGGATAAAATAAATGGTGAAATGTTCAGTCCAAATTAACAAACTGACAATTTATTTAAAAACAATTCGTCATATAATGGTCTTGATCAGTTTCAATAATTTTATTTGTTTTAAATTAAAATTAGACAAAGTATGTAAACATTTTAATGCTGTAGCGTACCCGCTTATCCCATACACCGAATAAATTGTCAACTAATTTAAACGAAACATCGCCGTTTAGTTTTTTCCATTTTACATTGTTTCTCTATCCGGTCAATTAATTTTTCAACACCAAATGAGAGAGAGAGAGAGCGAGAGGGAGGAAGCGAGAATGAGATAAAAAGTACGGTCTTCCCGATGTCTGATTACTTCTAACTACATATTACTGTATTTTACGAAGAAAATGCTAATTTTTTTAAGTATATGTATGAAAAATAAATGTACAGGCAATTTTACTACTCGAGATAATAATTTAATGTTGATATATTTTGCACACAAATTATTAATAAACTATAAATATGAAAATCTATCGTCTTCTTTTTCGGTCAATTTGTTTTCATAGCACCAGAGAGAGAGAGAGAGAGAGAGAGAGAGAGAGAGAGAGAGAGAGAGAGAGAGAGAGAGAGAGAGAGTGTGTGTGTTCAAGAAAAGTCGGGATCTCTAACTAATTATAAAAATATGCAAGATAGAAAAAAATGTTAACTTTGTTAAAAATGTTACACGTTAAAAATATTTAAAAGTTGGAGAGTTTCAAATAACGCATTACAAAGTAACACCAGTGTAACTTTGAACAGCGTCGTCAAGATCACTTAGGGGGGCATATGCGTTTGGAGCCACGAACAAAAGGCATTTTTCATGAATTTTTTTCAGAGTCAAGTAACAAACTATAAAAATGGGGCTTTTTGCAGAATTAATAGAACGAAATTTGCAAAATTAATAGATACTATCGATTTCAACCGTTCTCACCTCGATTTTTCTTTTTGCTGTTGTCGTAGCGCGGCTATTGTCTTCCGCAGGACGAGGATCGTGGTCAGGTCAGAAGAATCGGATGCACGGCCATCGATACTATCGATTTCAACCGTATTGTGACCTCGGTTTTCCTATTTTCTTGTAAGAATACGCGATATAATATACATATGTATATCGAGGAGAGTAAAAGTATGTAACACGAAATAAAAAGTAGGAAGAACCTCGCAACTTTGTTTTATTGTATTAAAAGTGATAAAATTAGACAATATAATTCTACAATAATATATCGATATTTAATCGTATTAATTTAATAGATAACTTACGGTTTTCCTATACTCTATGTTACAGAACAAGTAAAATACTGTGTATGAATACAACAAACTGAAATACTTATTCTATTTCTTATACAATATTAGGCACGTTTACTTGGGACGTTGGTACTTGTATCAAAGTTGTAGTCGTTTTAAAAAATGTACTATAGTATCTCTCATTGTCAGTTACGTAACGAGATCGAGACTTATTGTTAAACGGACCGATACCAAAGAAATTTGCTTTGCGGGCATCTTTTACTCTCGCATGGAATTATTCGCGTGCCAACGTAATCTCTCATCATAAAGTATCCTTAAAACAAAAATGTATCAATATATGTATGTAGTATAACTCCTAAGAGTATTGCACGTGTAATATTTTTGCTGCGTGTACGTTCAATTATGATTTAATTCGCTTTGGTTTTCATTACTGTGCTTGTAGGATTAAGGATTGTGATACACCCGGCATGATGTGCTTTGTTCGTGGTTTTGTAGCTCGACAACTTTGCGATTAAAGCAAAAGGTCACGGATAAAATAACATGCAATCATACTGATATTTATATCGACACTCGCACGATTGTCAAGTAGCGGATAAAGGAGGCCATAATGATTGCTCTCTCTCTCTCTCTCTCTCTCTCTCTCTCTCTCTCTCTCTCTCTCTCGCGTTATAAATAACGTTTTTGAATTATCCACAGCCTCATTTCCATTTTCATCATCATCATTGGAAAAAGGGAATTATTTTTCGGATGCTTCGTTAAGTACAAAGAAAGAAGAATGTAAGGAAAAGTGCTCTCGCGAATGTGTTGTCAAAAGCCCGCGTATTCATCCACATTATTACATGCCCATTTAACGCAATTAACAAATTAGATTTTACGCTTTATTCCAAATCGAGTGTTTACTCGTTTGAGGCTCACATGGAAAATATGTAGCGCTAGATGTAATAATATTAAAGCAATAACTTAAGTCACAAGGGAGAGCTGGGGCGTATTACGAGCCAATCAAAAGCTGCAAACAAGAAATTTCAAAGAGTTTCGTTAGAAACGAAAAGTTGGTACGTGCGACCACATTACATTACGTTATACCAACGTGCAAATTTGACGTGAATAAAGTGAATAAAGGTTCAAGTACGTTGCAAAGTGGCGCGAGCAAAGGTAAAAAAGATAAACGTGAATAAATGAAAGGCGAAATATGTGGCTCGATGGTTGACCCTTAATCGCCGCGACTCGTCACAGGCGATTCGTCAGGAAACTAGCGGGGGACGTCATGAACGCGAGTCGACAAGAGAGTCGATCGAACGAGTTTCACAGAATCGAAAAATTTGTATGAAAAACTAATTGTGAGTTATCTTATATCCTGTTTGCGTAAAATTGATGATTCAACCGACAGGAGAGGAACTATGGTCGTTGCGGCGGGCGGTAGCACGCGTCGTTTGTACTCGTACATATACATATACAGGGTGTCGGATTCGATTTGGACCACTCCAAAGATTATAGTTGATTGGGTCAAACTGAAAAAAAAAGTTATATACCATTTTACAAAACCCGTAATTATTATCGCGTAATTAAGAAAAACGTCTGAGCCAATAAGTGCACGGAGGAGCTGAAGGCCGGACTCGGCAGACATGCAAAATAGTGTATTATTTTCCTACCACCAGAAAAACTTTTTCGGCGCGGTGTCATATGTCGCGCGTTCGCTCGCTGCGCGCCGTTCGCCCGCTCACCGCTCCTCGCTCGCCGCCGTCTCTCATCGATCGATGCGTGACTCCATCTCTCGCTATCGGATCTTGAGAAATGTCAACAAATACACCATTTTGCATGTCTGCCGAGCCCGGCCTTCCGCTCCTCCGTGCACTTATTGGCTCACAATCAGACGTTTTTCTTAATTACGCGATAATAATTACGGATTTTGTAAAATGGTATATAACTTTTCTTCTCAGTTTGACCCAATCTACTATAATCTTTGGAGTGGTCCAAATTGAATCCGACACCCTGTATATATAATAATTGCTAATGACTTGGACAATAAAGAGGAATCGGCAACACTTTGGCTCGATCGGTCGCGATCCTTGTTGCAGCGAAGCAGGACGGTGGAGATGAAGGAAATAATCACCTTCGAGACGTACGGTAAAAATGTTGGTGCGAGGAATCAAAAGTCCATGACGGGAAGGAACGCGAAGGCGGGTGACGATGGCGCACAGTGGTCTAAAATCTCGAAAACTTGGCAAAAACTAAATTTTTCTAGTCCGCCTAATTGTCGGTAAAAATTATTGTAATTTCAGGAAAAGTACACAAAGAAGAATGTCTTGTAATTTCAATGCTTGTACGTTGCCTTTCGAACGCGTGATATAGGTGTATAAGAAAAGTGAAGAACTTTTAGTATGTTGATATGGTCGCTTTCTGCAGTTCTGTCACTTTATTTATGTTATTTTTCAAATTACTCAGAACGCTTTCATAAAATGCTTTAATACTATTTATTGTTATTTGACACGTGTACTTTAAGTTTATTCATATTAACAATAAAACTTAATCTAGCAGATATATATACGATATGGTTTTTAACCTCTTGTGAAGCTTAGTACGACTCGATACTCTAATTTTATTATCCGATATAAAACTTTAGTCACCTTTAGCCAAAAAAGATGTTGTAGTCGGATTAAACAGAATATCGTACTCTTGAAGAGCGTGAAGAAAGAAATTGCTACTTTTTGCTGATATCGTTGCTATGATCAAAAATATCGGGCTGTATCTATGGATCTGTAATTTTTCAACAGTTGAGGCATCATAGGCCACGTTAGCCTTTTTTTTGTATTTTTTTATGTTTACTGTTTGTAGAAAATGAGTTGTTTGCATAAGTTTGCACAAGAGAAAATAAATCATATTATAGATTAAGATTTGTTGAAATATGAGAACTTTATTGTTTCACCCAGTATATAATAACCTTTTTTTTATATCAATAATAATTTTTCACGTAACAAATATTGTTTATATCTTGTGCGACTTATCGTTGTTAAAATATTAATTTTTGCCAGAAAACCAGGCGTTTAGACCACTGTGTCGTGGTCACCGTTCGACCAACGAGGCGTGAGACAAGTTCCGACCGAGATGACGAGACAACATCGTCGATCTCGTCTCACAATCAGATGCTATCGTTGTAGGGATACTCGATATCTTCTGCCGTCGTGTTTTGTTTGCAGCGATACATATATGCGCTCGAGGACAAAAGTTCATTATAGCGCACGCACTTGTAGCCATCATCCGAGCATCGACAACTGCACAAATCAAGTCAAGAGATAAGTACATAGAGTTATATGTATACTGTATAGGGTACGTGCCGAGAAAATCTCAACTCTGTATATACATTTGTACATCTCATCGTCATTCCAAATTTGATAATGTTTCACTCGTAATTTTACTGTTAATTCATTCTTCCGCCTTAGCCGTGCTCCATTGCAAAGTGAATAAATTAATAACGTGTAACGGCAATCGTTGACTCACGTGTTTCTCATGTTATACAATATGTCGCGCGTAAATCGATCGTAGACAGACCATCCACAGGCCTGGGTCGCATTGCAAATTTGTGACGTATCATCCCTTTCATCTTCCTCCATGCTAGTTTCCGTAGTTCGTGGAATTCTTACGCTCCTAGAGTCTCGTAGCAGTACCCGTTGCAGCTGCTTCTGCAATTAAACGTACCAGAGTCAATAAGAGATGCATTTATTTTTCCTCTCTGTTATCGTGCCGCCAATTATCAATGATATATATTTTTTTTTCAGACGCAGTAACGTTCGAAATATATTTCTGTTGTAAACAAATTAAAAATCGCTAGTATCTCACCGACGAAAAATCTCCGTCTTTCACAGTTATCTCCGATATGATGTCCGGCGTGTATATTTATGCGCGACGCACACACACGCACACACTATCGCGATTGCAACTTGACATGCTATTCAACAGTTTAATTGACGTCTCGATGGGGTTTGTCACAATCGAGTGCTTTCGTTTGAAAAGTATGGATTCGTCTTGACAATTATTGAAAGCTTTTCGTTTCTTTCCCCTCTACCAAGCCGAAAATCTGGGGAAAACTCTACTATAACGTGATTTTTGCCCCCAGCTCTTCGACAATTGTTAACAAATTAAAGATATTCTTCTCTTTCAGGAGATGTCTCAAAGTCTTCCCGTTGGTAAGTCCTCTTTCGTAGTCAATTGTTGCAACGGCGATAATCCTATATAAATTTATGCTTGACGAGCTAATTAATTAATTTGAAGAGCGCGCGTTGTAGAAAATTGTAGAAAATTCTAGAATACAAAAAGTTTCGACTCTCGGCGTAAAAGATTGTGGGTTAAGAGCGTATCGCGAGATCTCGCATATTTCTGATAACACGCAAACTGAGAGCAGAGCGTGAAGAAGGGAGAAAAAGATGCAGTGGCGGGGCGCGTTGCGCCAGTAACGTTGGCCGCTCAAGACGGTAAAGTGAGAGCGTGCAAACGTCATTCCTTGAATGAAGAAGAGTCGCCAGTACCGCGATCGATAGCCTCTCGTGTCAAGCGTGATACCGTTTCGTTGCCTTCTTCTAAAAATCTTTCGTCGTTATTCCGATCCGACCTAGTAAATTCCGCTGTAGCTGTGTAGGCGGGAAGGATTCCCATAAAGACATGCCTGCAATGAAATTTCTAGATCTCCCCCCCCCCCCCCCCCCTAGAACGATCGTAGAGCCGGTGCCGATTGAGCCGATACAATTTGATTCAATTTGGGACTCGCTTTATCGAATAGCGAGCGACGGTTCTCGCACAGTGCCGAGAAGAAAGATAATCACTCCGAGACCGAGGCGAGGTCGCGACTCGATAGACTCGATTTATGAATGAAGCTGCTCGAGCCACGCTCGAGGAGTACATACATATGCGTATTCTTCGCGCGTATCATACCACTCTCTTTACTACTTATTTTACTATACATCATATATTACTGTGTAGAAATTCTCTCTCTCTCTCTCTCTTTCTCTCTATCTCTCTAAAGGCCTATGTCCACGTTGCTAGAACTTGATCCAAGTTCCAGTTCCGAGAAATGTGTAGCCAATCAACTCGCAGCTATTCCATAAAAGCTGCAAGTTGATTGGCTACACACTTCTCGGAACTAGAACTTGGATCAAGTTCTAGCATCGTGGACATAGGCCATAAGGGTATTAGGACTTTACCCCATCCGATCGACCACGTAACACATTGAAATTACGCGGCTCAGTTTGAGCGCGCTTCTCGAATTGAATCGCGCTACGTGCTACCGGTACATTTCCCGTGAGAAGAACAACCTTCGCGTTTCATTTTCGATTGATACAATCACGGTCGAATCTTACCTCGGAACGAACTGCCGCCGTATGGATGAGAGCAGGGTAGCACAACATTACGGTGAGGGCGACGATGACGATTAGTCTCACATTGTGGCAGTTAACTTTGACGCGCGGGCTCGACATTTCTGCTTGTACGTAGCTGCGAGCTTCGTAAGATGACTCCAAATTTGTCCGCCGGGTTTGTACCGCCCCTGTACAGGATGCGCTTGACTCTGTCGCGGTGCGGCGCGGCGCAGTGCAGCGCGGTGAGTCCTCGATCCTCGATCCTCGATCCTCGACCCAACGTGGAACGCGTGCGCGTTTAGACGCTACGACTGGCGTGGGGCGGCGTGGCGTAGGGGCGTTACGGCGTAGGGGCGGCGTGGCACAGTGTCGGGCGACGCGAGTTGGCGCTGGCTGGCGCGAAACGGCCCGTTTTCTCCGTGCCACTGGCGAGTTTACAGAAATGTTGGCGAAAACGTTAACGTGCGACTGCGAAATGATTAAACACAAAAGTGAAACGTTCGCGTCGGGGCTGTTCTTTTTTTCACTTGATATGTACCGGGGCGGGAATCGTTAACACGCGCGCACGCTCTCTCTCTCTCTCTCTTAGTGATCGAGTTGTACGCGTTTGTATGGACGGTTCTCGGATCGTCTTTATACATAGACTGTCTTCTCGTATAGAATGAAGACGCTTTCGAGACCTGAGAGTTTATATAGGCTGGGCTAGCCGAGACAGGAGGGGAGAAAGATTTAGGCAGAGAAACGAGGAGTGAGAGAAAGAGTGAGTGAGGGAAGGCGCGAGGCCGAGAACGCGAATAAGAAAGAAGAAGAGAGTGAGGGGAGGCGCGAGACCGAGAACACGAATGTGAAAGAAGAAGTGGGAAAGAGAGACACGCTTAGACGTTACGATAATAATAAGATTAATAACAACAGTAACGATGAATGCGTGTAATAATTAAGACAACTGCGCGACCTTTCAGTTGGTTCATTCCTCGCGTTTAACGAGATCGATAGATCTTGCGGGTTGCACGCGCGTGGAGCACACGTGCTTCAATGGCGCGGAAAACGAGGTGTTTCCCCGTACCTCGCGCGAGTGTGCGTGTCGACGACGACGATTCTCCCTAGCCCTTTTTCATTCGTCTCTCCATCCGAGACGGGGTTTAACTTTGCCAATATTCCAAACGCATCCAATTATCTCAATTGATAATAGATAATAGATAATATGAACAGCGTTGAGTTTGTTTGTCCTTTGGTCGCTTCGTCGTATTCCATCGCTACATCGACACATTATTATCTAAAAATTTACTACGAATATGAAGAATACTACGAGAGAGAGAGAGAAAGAGAGAAAGAGTGGGTAGGGAGGGGTTAAGCCATTTGCGTCGTGTCAGAGAGGTAGACTCGCGTCTTTTATAAAATGCGCACTCTCTTTTTTTCTTTCGTTACGCCTGATGTAATATTGGTTGGGAAACTGTCAAAGAGCACGTAGACAATTTACTGACGAAAAACGTAGGAATCTAGAGTAAACATACACGGACGAATCTTTCAACGCAAATACACGTTCAAGTATTATACATATATGTGCTCGTGCTTAGATAAACGAAATTCAAACGGCGAAGCGAGCCGTTTTGTTTACGCATAAACAGATTCAAGTATCGCGTTATCGCGATCAACTTGTGTTAGAAACAACTCGATCGAGTAACAGGATGACTCGCGCGTATTTTCCCTATTTTCCCATTGGAATATTTTCCATTTTCTCGACGACACGCACTTTTTAGCGAGGCGGTCTTGAGCGAAAATCCGTCGCAAAAACGAGATTGCTCAATAATGTGCCACTCGTCACTCGTGACATGTTATTTTTCATTAAACTCGCAATTAACGCCTACACGCCGGTCAGTCAACCGAAATATGAGATTTGTATTTCAAACGTGGTTTTTTTTTACACTCTCAAGGAGCTTACTCGTATAAACATATGCGACACTTCAAGTCTTAAACATTCCCACTTTGACATTGAAACAATCGTCTCGCCATTAAGATATTTTTCAGTATTAACTCAAGCCCAGCTTTGTAAAGCACAAACAAATTTCGTCATTATTGACAATTTTTCCTATTTTTTTCATTTAACCAATCGACGTAGAGTGCGTATTCGTCATAGGTCACGCTCTCGGACGTGCCGTTCGAGTCGGGAATCGGGATCCAGATCCTGATGATAGATCCATAATGATGCAGCGCCGCACGATTGCCATTATTTGCCGTTTGCCTAAGAAAGGTTTGCCCCGCGCTCCACGAACCGTTTTAGTCCCTCGTCCCTCATCTTTTTTCCTTCTTCCCTCTTCCCTCTTCCTTCTGCTTTCTCGATTGGACTGGTAACTTTACACACGTACGTCGAACACATGAGTCGAAAAATATAGAGGCTCGACGGGGGCTTGTCGACTCAACCAATGGCAGAACGGTTCATCGCATACGTCGCGATCACCTCATCATGGATCGACGTGACGCATTCTATCGCACCATGGATCCGCCGCGGCACGTTATTAAATTTTCGTCGACCGTGCGCAGTTACTAATGAGCATAATGACTGAATGAATGATGATAGATGAAGTAAATAATAATGTGGCTTTGAGGAGCTCTAGACGCGCTCGCGACACAGAGAGAGAGAGAGAGAGAGAGAGAGAGAGAGAGAGAGACAGAAAGCGCTAAACGAGACGATGCCAACTTGGAGCACACGTCGTCGTCCTGTTACGGTTACGCTATACTTACTTAATTAGATGGATCGCGATAGAGATAAGATTGCACAAAATTTACATCATCGGCCAATGATTAGCGACTCCGCTCTACATTTCTATCGAGCAATGCGTCGTACATCTCCAAAGTAGTCTGACCGATATCAATGAAGATGTAACAGCAAAGGTCAGCTGGGCAATTTTTGGGCGTAACATTTCACGCGGTCGGAGCAAAGAAAGAGCGAGAGAGGGTACGGAAAGAGATGCGTAAGTGGCCTATGACCGCCCGAGGTTCGAATTGCGTCATTTCGTTTCCGGAAAGAAACTGTAGACTACGCAATTTGTCAAGCGAGATCGTTCCCTCTTTCCCTTCTTTTTTATACTCCGAAATAACGAAATATGGTATGTATCTTATGAAACTACGCGCAGAAGAGATAAAGGAATATACCCGCTCTTTTTTTCTGAGCAAGCATTATCAAATTTTCAAAAACGGCGTATGCAGCTTATAAAATCGAAAGGATTAAAGAGGATTGAAGAGGATTAAAGAGAATTGACGACGGAACCGTAGCCAAGTAATTATTAAAGATAGGTACGATCGTGTATACGATTCTCCTAAACAGTATTTTTTTAAAAGTCTTTAGAGATTACGATTTATACTATGTATCGAATAGATAGTGATACACCTATATAACTATAATATGTGTATCACCATCTATTCGATGTAGAGTCTCAACCATTATCACTGACATTGAATCATGTAGTCAATACATCGTTACTGAAAACAACGAACCTTTTTGATAAAAATTCCCTTGGGCCCATTCTCGGCGTTTATCAGCAAAATGGCTATATCGGGATATAGTTGACTTTTCCACTTCCTTTCCCGTCCTTTCTTTTTTTGGCTACGGTGAAAAGAAGAGCGTGTAAGATCTTTGGAAATTTTGACTCATTTAAATCAAGTGTAATTGTCCACACGTAATTCCTGAAAAAGCTGCATCGTTACGCAACCAGAAAGAAATGCCGAATCTCAAAGAATCTCCTTCTGAACGTTCTTCCAAAGACAATCAACACTTGCCCGTATCCATTTAGTCGAGTAGGAATCTTGACGAGTCTCGGCTCAAGTTTAACACTCGAGACATAGCAAAATGCACCTGCGAGCCTAACAATAAGTCTAAATAAACGATCGAATTTATATTACGTATGCAATCTGTTACTGTAATTAACATGAAATTGGCATGACAAATTGAACATTTAACGTATGACTCGAAAGCGACTCGAGTGTGTGTTTTCGTCGACAATTGTAACGTCCCGTCTCGTGTTTTTCCCAGTCGCACGAGCGCAAATAAGTCGATCGTTTACGTAAGGGCGCCCACGCAACCCAACAATACGTTAGGTAGCGCGTGACGGATGCGTAAATCGACGAGGCTAGGCTAAGCTAAGCTAAGCTAGGCTAGGCTAGGGCCAGGGCTAGGCGAGGCGAGGCGAGGCGAGACGAGGTATGAGTTTGTAAGCAAACGGAACGCACGCGACTAGTCAAGTCAAATGTCTTTCTAGGAATTCCTTCGATTCAATTCCTATCGATTGTCGTCGAATTCTTGTGACGTCAATGTCATCTGCAAATACGAAGAAATTTCCTGAAGGAGACCATTGGGATGACTGAGGCAAACAATTGAGAGAAATTCCTCGTGCCTCGTGCCACGAGCGAGCGAGCCAGTTCGAAACTAGATGTCATCGGGTCAAAGAATCGGGTTACGAGACACGCACGATATTACAACGTCACTTTTTAATCAGCGATCGACAGAGTATACGTCAATCGCGAGGGACTCGAGTCGCGCTCGGTGCTCGGTGCTTTCCCAAGGAGAACAAAAAGTCAGGATGATGATCAATTTGATATCATATTGATCAAATTTATGTCAAATTTTGGTTAATTTGATGCTATATTAACCAAAATTTTACATAAATTTGGTCAATATGACATCAAATTGACATCATCCTGACTTTTTCTTCTCCTTGGGTTACGAGTGCTCGACTAATTATGATCGGCATTTTCGATTGGCGATGACACGAAAAGAGTCGTTCGAGTATCGTTACTCTTGGAATTTGCGCAATGTAAGATCGTTCTCACGTTGCCAAGTTGCTACGCAGGTCGAATTTTGCGATACCCTCGCATCGTTGCGCATCGTTCGGACAATTTCCAACTCGCTCGAATTTGCCTCGAGAGATGGAAAATGGCGCGTGTTAGTTGCCTGTCAATTGTTCTCAAAAAGGTCCCTCTCGAGAAGGACGCTCGCGAAAAGGCGATAACGATTCGACGCGATACAAGATACGGTCGTTCGTAACTGCCAAGTACGCGTCTCGTCCACAAATATCTACCGCGTAGCCAGACGATTTTCCGAGAAGACGGGAACTACTTGGTGCCTTTGGTTTTCTTGGCACATTCGTCGGTACCTAAGTACCTTGCCAGGTGCGAGGTCTACGTTGCGCAATAGGGGTAACGTACGATATCTTCACAGATTTATACAGTAATAGGGGTAACGTACGATATCTTCACAGATTTATACAGTAATCTCTTTTGTTTTTAATACAATTCCGCACTTATTGAAAGACGAGAAAGTACGGATCGGAACATCGTTGCCTATGACAGTCCCGACTAGGGCTGTTACTTTTGATAACTTCGAAGATTCGAAGCTTCGAAAAATTTACTCGTGCGAGTGACGAATTTATTTGAAGAAACACTAAAAGTAAATAACATAACAAAGTCAGGTGGTAATCAAATGTGTCTAAGATTAAAAACAATACAATTGTAACATCAATTAAAAAAAGGAAACTTTAACATGCATATAGAAATTTTTTACTAAATTTAAATTATTAAATGATTTAGTGCTTTAGATTTAAATTTTTCATCTAAAATTTTTGCCAATATTTTAAAATATTGCATTACACCGTGTAGTATACAGAATTTATTAATATAATGAATGTAGAATATGACAAATAGGTTATTTCGAACTTGG